TCCAAATTGTTTTGGTGGCTAGAAGAAGTAACTGTGAGGCAATAGATTTTTGCGTAATCGAAAAGGAATTTTAAGCTAGGCAGTGAGTTAAGGATATTATGACTTTTAGACGTGTGTGTAAGTGAGAATGCTTCGATTTAGGGGAAGATGTAGAGGAGTTAGGCGGGTTACCTTCTTGCCAGTTTTATGATGCTTTCTCCCTCCTTCTTCTGATGTTTGACCTGCCTATATGTAGAGAGGGGAAGTAAATTTCATGTTGAGCTACCTCCTGTCGTTTACTTTCATTCGCCTAACTACTTAAGGTAATTTTCAGTAATATATAATAGCCAAGCATCTCAATTGCCAATCCCAATAAGTTGGGCTGCTAACAGACTTAAATGATCATATTTGCAATATCCTTCTTCACAATCTAAGGAGGCCATATATGCACATCCCTTTTCAAACATACCTAATTATTTCGCTATCTTTTCAACATTCTGGTTAACCAAGCCGAGTATCTACTGAAATACATTATTAGTAGCACGGTGGTGTTACTTATTAGAAATAGTAACAAAATAATATGATTAAAGTTCCAGGCCTATTTGAATGGAAATGCATATGACTTACTTCATAGACATGTTCTTCACGGGCCATTCCAAAGTCGGCGATTTTGAGCACTTTTTCCTCCGTTAGCAGACAATTCCTAGTTGCCAAATCACTGAAATATAAGGAGAATTCGCTACTTAATTAAACTTAAGTAGTTAATACCATAGTGCACAGAAACCACACGAAAAATGATAAATAAATGCACGCCTTTAAAACGTGAATAAAATATTATAGTAATAGGAAAATGGCAGAAAACGCGAGCACCATAAATAGTCAAATTGGCTATTTTTAGAGAAATTAGGAGATTAAATAGATAGCTACCACCACATTATCATAGCAACCGACAATAGCTACGCTAGTGAAATGGGAGATAGTATACGACGCCCATCAAGGTAAAAGTACTAGTAAAGTTTAACGTAAGGGGGAGTGGATTAAAATTAGATGAAATATGTTAAAAGCCCTCTGTTAGGAGAGGATAATACATTGGGAGGAAATTGAGAAACTCGCATTGCTCCAAACAATTCAGATCCAGATAAACACACTGAAATACACTATGCACCCCAAAATATCATGGAATAAATAACTGCAGAAGATAGCAGACCGAATGAAACAGTTAGGGGAAAAGTTGTGGACCATTAATAAGCTAATGTTTGCTTTAATCTCACTTTACTCTGAAATCAGCGAAACGTTACCATTTAGACGAGCAGTTCATAAATCCATTTACCATTAGGTATATTAATGCCCAATTAGATGAATTTGAAATTTCCTGCAAGTAGTTAGCAAATTTAAACGACAATAAGACTAGTCAAAGAAAATACTGGTTATTTAAGAGAAATTCGCCTATTAGCTGTGGAAATAGTTCACAATATTGGAGCTACTACTACCCCGCAAATCATTCAATTTACAATCCATAGACACCTTGAGAAGAAAGAGTTTTCACATAAAACTACTTAATGTCTATTTCAGTAGGTGGCAGGAAATATCAATCAGAATAAATAACCGCAATGCCATACTTGTTACGCAGCGAAGAGCCCAGAAGTATTAGATTGCAAGCACATAGAAGTGGCCCTGCGGAAGTGAGTGTTGACTACTACATCCCCTCTCCCCCCCCTACTCCACCTACCCCAAACGAACCAGGGCACGACTTAGCCAATTGGAGTTCAACGCAAGAATAATTTATGCTTTCCGCCTTAAATTATTATCATTTTACCAGTATGAATGATGCGTTAATTACAACCACAAAATAAAATAGCGAACAACTTTCTCTAAAACCAAGTCACAAAATATTCTAAGCAAATTAAAATACGCTAAATAGAGCAATAAAGGAGGAAAATCTTTCATCTAAGAGAGAGAGAAATGACATTTCTAGACAACATGAATTATTTAAACGAGGCCTTCGACATAATCATATTATTAAGATTTTTAAATAAGTAGGTTTACCGATGAATGCAGTTTTTAGATTCGAGATAGGCCATTCCACTAGCTGCGTCGACGCACATTCGCAGGAGGAGACGAATATCTGCAGTTTGGCCATTTCTTCGAAGGAAAGACAACAAGGAACCACCTAGGAGTTTAAAGAAATTGAAATCGGATAAAAAGATACCAGGCAATTCGAGTTACAATAAAAAATAAAAAAGGATCCCTTCAATTATTTTAATGGCCACATTTAATGTACTTGGGAAAGGGAGTCAGTTCAGCGTTCAAAGGGGGTATCGACAATTAAGCGCCTGATATTATCTGAATTATTTAAGAGGACAAGAATAAATATTATAGAGTTGTTTTTGGGGGGGGGGGAGGGGGAGTTATCAACCAAATCATAATTGATCTGCTGCCGCATACAATATACTTGCAACACTCGCGTCCTTTGTTAGCCAATCCGCTTTGCAGCCTCTCTCTCTCGCTCTCTCCCTTCCCCCACCCCCCCCNCCCCCCCCCCCCCCTCCCCCCCCCCCCCCCCCCCCCCCCCCCCCCACCCTCCTCTGAGTCTCACATGTCATTCATAAACCTCTGCAACGCTCTTAAAAAGTGCGTAACTTTCAGCCTTCGTCCCCCCAAACCATCAAATCAGCGATACGTTGCACATAAAAGGATTTAAGTAAGCCAACTAAAATTTGGGGAAATAAGAGAGAGAGAGACATTTGAAACATATCGGAAAATAGGCACAATGATTTACATCACTTGAAACCAAGACGAATTTGTACTGCTCGTATAAGTTCGGCACAAGGAGGGGTTCAACTATCACGTGAACAAAATCTTCAAGTTATAAATACCTCTCTAACCGAAATACAACCCTCCACATCTACAAATAATAACCGCTACCAAACCAAGAAATAAAATTTGTAAAGTAGGTATAGCAGTTGATAGGAGACCATATCAACAAATCAAACCTGAAGCACTAAAGCAACATCACTAGGAGAGAATATAAGTAAAAACTCCAATGGATATTCAAATTGATTATTCAAAACGCCCCCCCCCCGGCCCCTTCATATTACTTACATTAGCAGGAATTGATTAATTATTAAATTAAAGTATAGCTTCAGAAAAAAAAAATAGTTCACAGAACAAATATTCCCCTTAAAATTCATTATTGCCGGGACTCTAAAACAGCTAATTAGCGAAGTTTTAACTAGAAGTGGAAGATATGAAGCCTAAATTAAGGCTCACAAGAAAGATTTAATCTGTGATAAATTATTCATAGACAAATTGAAAAGGCTATGAGTTAATAACTTCGAACTAAAATATTGAAGCGACGTTACTAGGTGCTAATTAATCAAACATAAAATTTCCTTTAAGTTGCTAATTAACCAACCATTTTTAATTTGTAAGTCAATTTTAAATATTTTCCCCTGGAAGTCAATTTGATTCGGTTTCGATATTAGACACTCCTTCAATCGATACTGCAGCAAAATTAATCTCAAGTTAATAGTAGATTAGCCATTATTCGCCCTAATTTTAGCCACAATAGTCAGTTATAAACCATTCTTATTGACTTGTTTGGGATGTGAAATCTAAACAGCATAAACCACAACCTCAAGAAAAGTCGAGTGAAAATAGTGAACTAAAGCACTTTCTCAATGTCAATGCACTGACTCTGCTTTGGCCTGAGACGTATTGATCACAATTGATTAATCTTAAAAAAACAAGAATGCCAGAATAGCATCTTCGATGCTTGAAACAGATCCAAAAAGATTATCTGCAATGACGGGGAGGCAAATCTTCCAACTGTTCTGTGCAGAACCCCCTTATCCTGTCCATGCTCCCTTTTCTCATCTCCATACTAAGAGTATCGTTTCGAATACTCCAATAATGCACATCGAATTACATCATTGTAATTAATGAAATGAATCTAGATGAAATCACCAGGAAATAGTTGGGAACGTGTAAAAAGAGGAATGATAGCTTTAGAGATAGCAGAGGCTACATTACGAACGAAAAATAGGAAGTCAACTAACAAGCGAATGGCAAATAAAAACCTATCAGACGTGAACAGATATTACAAGCGCAACTCACCAGCCACATACTCCATGACAATCATGATAGGATGCGAGCGCACAGCAATGCCTAGAAGACGAACCACGTTGGGATGGAAGAAGTTGAGCGCAGTTGCTTCACCCTGGAGGAATTTGCGTCGAATCTCCACTTCAGCGGGACCGGCTCGGCAGGTTTTCACAGCCACTTCACGACCATTGTAAATGCCCCGATGGACTTCACCAAAATTTCCCTATGGGAAAAGAGAACATGGGAGGGAAACATTTAAACCTAGAGGAGCGAATGTCAACGAAATTTAAGCAATTAGTGCGATGAAATGAGAATGGTCATAAAGACAACAACTACCTAAATGTAAGTAAGTGAGTAAAATATGCGGCCGCGGAAGGTGGACTAAAGAGAGGCTAGTACACTGTTGAGTGAGGAGATTTTCACCACCTAGACAGGACGATCGCCATCTTACAACTTTTGAAAATTAAACACTAAGCTAAATAGCCTTTCATAATAAAAACAATGCTAACCGTGAATTATAAACTCCTAAATAGCTAGTAAGTTCATTGTATTTAAATAAATTGCATTTTCAAGTACCAAGGTATGACGAAAGTGGAAACTTAATCCGATAAAATTGGAAGGAAATTCCTTACCATTTCATTGAAATAACGCCTTTCAAGTAACTGGCTAACATAAATTAAACAATTATACATATCGGACAAAGCTTGGGCCAACATATTATTGAAATTAGCTATTTCCTTCGTCTTTACCTGGAAACCTGCTCTCAAATCTCAAGAGAACACTAAAAGCGGTTCTCTTTAAATCGGATTGCGACGAGAAAACAAAAGCTGACTTTTTAGACAACCTGACCACACATATTAAACTAATCTAGGGCAGCGTTGCTTAGTGGAATAGGTACCTAAGTTATGATTAAAATGTTAAACAGCATAATATGCATGAGAAGAGAAACTAACTTGTCCAATCTTCTCCAGGAGTATTACATCCCTGTTATCCAACTGCCAATCCGGCCGAGATATTGGATTTAGAAGGATCGCTCCCGAAGACTGGGTAACCGGTTTCCCTGTTCGCATATGGTATTCAATCAGATCCCTAAAAGACAAAGGTGTTGCTAAAATCATTCCTAAGAACTAAAACGACTTGCTAAAAGATTAAGGGAGGGAATAATGTCATGGAAAGCACCTTATCAGGGTCAATTTGTAAATATGTACTAAACTTTGAGCATAGACTATCACGAAAATAAAATAAACTGAAACACGAGCTTAAGACGCTACATCTAATAATGGAGAGTGTATTCCCAAGTTCAGGGCTTTACTTCGTCAGATCTAGTTGCATCTTGATTTCAGCGATGCACATTCAAATGACAAGAACTAACCTGAGAGTAGGAAACTCATACTCCTCAAACGACCAACCACCTCTCCTATTTCCAAGGTCGCCCGATCCCTCAGAGGCTTCATTTCCCCCCTGAATGAAAAAATGTTTGTTCCCATTCCAGTAAACCGAGAGGACCATCTTCGTGACAACCACTTTGCCATTACTACTGATAACCCCACTGCTACGCAGATCCTCAGTGCTCTGCGAACCGGCTAAGAGGGTAGTTGTTGAAGCGGAAGATGGGGAGCCAATAGTAGTCCCTCCATTAGAGGAAGAGGCCCAGAGGTTGGTTAAAGAGGGGGCGTCTGTACCACCTCGATGACGACGACCATGACGAGCCAAGTAGGAAGTGGATGCGGCTTTGCTCGTTTCGCGCACTAGGAAATCGCCTTGATTTTGAAGAAGTCTAAAATGAATAGGCGTTAAAGGTAGAATAATAAAATGCCTCTCAAAAATAGCACAAATCATGGAGCTAACATGGTGCTAAATTACTTTAACGAGCGAATGTTTACGAAAATCGTGTACATTTCTAATGGAAATAGTATTGAAAGTAAAGCGATTACCGACTCCACTGGACCAAGTGGAATTCAGATCACAGCGAATCATTTTACTGGGAAAGTAAATTAGCCCTCACGAATTTTATGATTATTTCCTAGTATGGGCTATTATTTCCCATTAAGATTATAATATTAAAGGAACCAATAAGAAATCGTACAATCAACGAGAAGAGATTTAAGTTCAATTAGCTGCCAGACACAGTGAAATAAATAATTGTGGAAGTACTCTTCCTCATAGGCTAATTCTTTAACATCATTTATGAATAAAGAATTTTATTTTGCTGCTTCGAGTAAAAGTGCAACTTCGAAACAGCCAGAGAGTACACAAACCATTCTGTGGTGCTTGAGGACTGCTGCATCACTGAAACTTGCGAGACCAAGCCCGCTAATGTCAGTTTTAGTTTAAATGATTTAAGTCAGGAGTGTGCGATAGACTCAACTCCACGTGGTGCACCCCGGGGCAACGTATACTCATACGGCAAAAAAGTCTATTAACCGACAGTTGACTTCTGACTTCTAACTACCATCACCCCACTGTATGTCAAATTCAACCACTTCAGCAGTACTCGTTTTACCTTTTCACTCTACCTTTGTGTCTGTCTCTTTTACATCTTTGAAACTCTCTTCTGTTCCGCCCCCCTCTAATTTTTCCACTTCTCCTCTGTGAGGCCTGAAGTCACCTAAAGGGCCAATGAAACTATCAAAATGCCTTCCATTTGATATTAATAAATTAATGATTTAAGCCAAAAATTGAAACTTGAATAAAGAGCCAAAGGCAGGAGTGTCTATAGATCTTGTTGGTGCATTACTATCCCTAATTAAAATTAGATCCATCGGCAAATATTAGTGAATTATTGCATAAGCTCGGAAGTCTATGGTCAAATGTGTTATTAAACTTGAAGCCCATCGATGAAATAAATAGGATGAGCCGATTTTTTCGATGCCTTAAAAACAAAGAATTTGTACTATAATGCCTCAAATTATTTTGTTAAAGGAGAGAGAAGTTGATAGCTAACGCCACTATGAGGGTGAAAAGCAATAAACTCCCAAAGTACATCTATTCAATTCCCTAAGACCCAAGGTTAACACCCTAGGCAACTTCTAAGTATTTGGAGGAAAGTACACGTAACCATTAACTATAGGATTGAGTGACAAATTATGGCGGAAACTATAATCAGATTCCTAATTTAAAAATAAATGAAATTTTAATAACGCTGTAAAATGCGCTATTTTCTACTTCTAACCCCCCCCCCCCTCTTACACTTAACCAGCAACAATGAATATAGATTTAGCGCATCATGACACACACACACACACACACACACACACACACGGAATCAACTGAATAATTGCTTTAACGATCATGTGAAAATAACATTTAGACCACAAAAGATATAGTCTAGAAAATAGTTAATTAACATTAATGTCAACAATGGTAAAGGAAAAAAGAGAAATCGTCGAGACATGACACATCTTCCCCTCCCTCTGTCAGGAGGAGGTTTATCTTTCCAGTAATACATTTATAAGACCACATGAAAAGCAATCTAAGACGCTTCAAATGACATGGAATGTGCTCAAACCAATGATAACCTAACGAAGTATGGGCATGTCAGCCTTCTCTGAGCCAAACGAATCCGATTTATATAAGTGCATATTAGCACAAAAGGGGTGCGCGATAGACTTACCCCCACATGGTGCACCTTGGGCAACGTATACTCATACGGCAAAAATGTCTGTTAACCGGCAGTTGATTTCTCACATCAAACTACTATCGCCCAACTGTATGTCATATTTGACCCCTTCCAAAGTACGCATCTTACTTTTTCTCTGCCTTTTTGTCTGTCTGTCTCTTTTACATGCGTGAATCACTCTTCTGTTCCCCCTCTCGAATTTGTCACACTTTGATGTTCCTCCCACCTGTGAAGCCCGAAGTCAGCTAAAGGCTAATTATAACTATCAAAAAATTAAATTCACATTAATTACCGAGATTTAAAAACAAGCACAAAGTCCCTGAAAGCAAGAAGTGGCAAGCCACCAGAAAAAATACTAAAATTATCCATTCCAAGTATGCAATATTAAATTCGAAACAAAAAATGACTACATCTTTCAACTGAAACAAAACATGGACTGTACTGTAAGATAACCATAAATCACAGCTTAAACGGAAGGTCATCATTTTAAGCGACAAGAGAAGGTATGCACAACTAAGAGACAGGATAGTTTAGCATTGAAAAGACACAAGTTTTCGGCAGAGGAAACAATTATAAATACAATAGGAGGCGCTTAACGGAGCCCCATTCGACAGAGTGGGTTTCCTGTTAGGGGAAAACCAAAAGTTTTTAGTGAATTTGCTCACCGAACAACTTCTGTTCGCGGTAAAACTCCATGGAACCAAGGTTCTTTGTTGATATCCACGTCTTCCTAATAGAAGAAAAAAGACAAAAAAACATCATGGATATAATTGCAAATTTAGCCTTGTCAAGGAGCAAATTTCATCAAACAGAATCACGGCAACTTGAGAAAATGCAATGGCTCGTAGTTTCAAGCAAAATAAAGAAATTTATCAGCAGGCATGCAGGATATAAACACTAAATATAAGTAGTATCAAATAGTTTCACAAACTAGACAACTTAATTTTTAATTTCATTAAATTATATAAGAAATCGTCAATTTGGTAGGAAGGTGAAGGAAAGTATTGGCAATCTAAAATGGTTGGAACCAATAAAACGAGGCATAGCACCAAATTACTGATACAATCAAAGCGATCAGCTTTAACCAAATGATAATCAAGGTGTTAAAGCGATCCTTCCTAGAAATTGGAAGCTGTTTTAAAAGAAAAGGTAATGAAAAAAAGCATACTTTATATGCCTAGATCAACCATCGAACCACATGCTAATGCAACAAAGCAGAGCAATAGAGAAAGGTTTCTAGCTCCTTCTCTCTCTCTCTCTCTCTAAATTTCATACCATCGACATGGCTCGGTTGACAAACGCTGAAAACAGGAGGTAAAGTTTGAATTGAGTTAATCCGCGTTAAGAAGAGTTAACTCATAAGGAGGTTAAGTGAATGAAATATGGCTAACCTGATCCATTCTATAGCCAAGACCATCATCATTTAATCCATTGATTGGACACATCGATTCGATGGAAACACTGCTCATGGCACCAACTTGTGGATCCTGATCAATTGAAGAGGTACTGTTGGCTAAAAAAATAAACGAAATCATCGATTGCTCAATACCAAAATGTGAGATATACATAAGTTACTCCTCTTAGCCGGATTGGCTAAGCGCTATCGTTTATTTCCTTGGCCTTGTATGAGTATCGATCCTAGTTATACCAGTTAATTCTAGATTCTTGTACAAATCGTTAATACGTAGGGCTATTCATCAAATGAATTTCGTCACGTGGCATATTCAATTCAATACCATTTATTACATCGATTTTCCATCATTGAGAATTACAAAATAATGCATAAGAAGATACAGATGGCCGTTTTGTCAGTTTGGCATCTGATTCATGGCTTGAATTTATTAACTCGTCCGTGGAAGCTAAAACAGTTTAAAAAAGCTCAATGGAAGTCGTGCACTGATCTCTTCCACTTATTTGGACATTTTGGTAACACGGAAGTGGTATAATGGTTCTAAATCACGAAGGTATTTAATAAGGTCGCTTGTCATGGGGCTGTTAATAAAATAACCTAATTTGATTTAATTTCGAATTCTGAAACATTTAATAAGCACTAAATGGCAGCTCGGATACCTTCAAGAGACCGAAATTACCAAACCCTCAGGAAAAAATTGAATTGGGTACACTTCAAAAACATGTGGCGTAATTAAGCACGAGGCAATTTTTAAACGCCTGTTTCAATAGATGACGGCTCTAGATCCAGTCATCCAAAAGACAAGATTACATTAAGTTAGCTAAAGACAATGTCCCAATTCATATCTAACATCAAAATTCGTCTTGAGAAAATCCGATCATGTTAAAAATTTCTTTGCGATAAGAAACGATACAATGCGATTGCAACTGTAGGGCCAGAAAATGGAGAAATAAATCGCCTATTAAATAACTCTTCAACGCCAAGAGAATTCGAGGGGCGTCAAGTAAGTGGTGGAGTCAATGCATTCATCTATAAACTTCCATCCAACTGTTTCACTGTTCTAGGTTATCGGGTTCTTTGTTCCTCGTTCAAGGAGTTAGTAAAACTGCAAGTTCACAGGGTAATTGCGGCACATTTTAACTCCTACACTCAGAGGAAATTAAAAAAATTCACACAAATACGCGTAATCTAATACAAGCAGAAGAAAAAGACAGAAAATTTGTGCTATAAATACACCCATAGTTAGGGAGGCAGTCTAGGATGGAAAAAAGCACTTTTTTGACTACTTCAAAGCGCACTTACATATGCCATTTAGTATTTCATTGAAACCAATTTAAAATGTAAAATAGGAAGTCGAAATGCACCCTTTGAAGAGCGCCTTTTGCTTAGAAAAACAGAAAAACCACTTCAACAAACAGTCGATGACGACGACGACAGGAACACCTAAACGATATTACTATTTGAAGGGGGTGTACGATAGACATGACTCCAAGTGGTGCACCCTGAAAAACGTACACTCATATGGCAAAAGGGTCAATACACTGGCAATTGACTCCTAACTTCAAACTACCATCACCCCATTCAATATCATTTTCCCCCACTTTCACAGTGCCCACCTTACCCTTTTCTCTACCTTTTTGTCAGTCTGCCTCGTTTACATTTGTGAATCAGACTTCCGTTACCCTTCTTCACTTTTGTGACGTTGATGTTCCTCTCCCTTGTGAAGCCCAAAAGTCAACTAAAGGGCTGCTGATAACTATCATAAAGCCTGCCATTTGAGGTAAACTATTTAAAAGGGACAGTGGAACTAACACTTCCGCACGGATTCAACTCCTCGCTTTAACAATAGAAATTTATTGGAATTAAGTATTGGACTGGACGAGATAAACTCGATTGAAGAGGTTGAAGTAATTACGTAATCAACAACAATGATAAATAGTAACCTCAGGACATGATGTACAATTACAAATATTAATCTCTCCTTTGGTTATCCATGAGATAATGACGCAAAAGTTAAAACAAAGTGAGAAAATTGAGACATTTCATGAATAAATAATGATTGGCAAATCCGGGCACCTTGAACCTCCTCGCGATTTGTTTTACTATTAATATAATCAATTCCCCCCAACCCCCACTGACGATGTCAATTTGTGTGACACAAGAGGAAAGAATTAGCAGGGTCTTCATTTAAAACGTCTATGGAGACGAGAAATAAACGAAACCCGGAGATGAAGAGATGGAGAAAAAAATAATAAATTACGATGTCATTCAGAGTTTAATTTTGAAGAAAATTTTATGAAAAGATTGATATTCTCTGTTCAAAAAAACTATTTTCCAATTATCTGATAGTAGAAGAGCAAATCTGCCAAATTGACCCAGTTTAAAAGGGTCCAATGGTGACGATGTGCTAAACTTAGTTGAAAAGCAATGAGACTGTACAAGGCAGACGTTGTAGGCCGGTACAAATCAAAACAATTCCTTTTAAGTTAACTGAGAAATAAATTTGGACAGACGGTAGTACCCAATACCTATCAGGAGTTCGGGTAGAGATACCCACCTACCGAGAAGAGGGCAAGGCGAGATAGAGGATTTCGACCTTGGAACCACAACTTGGGGTTAAATTTTATTTGTCATTAAGACTTCCGACAGCTTTCGATTGGCGATTGGCGTACAAGGCAAGGGAAAGAAATAGGTGGCAGACGCTTGGAATTAGCGGCTTTTTTATAATGGTAATTACACTACACTACACCAGTCAAGTTCAAATGCGTTTAAGTGAAGAAGAGAGATACCAGATTTTACCAAATATAAGGTTAAAATGGCTTAAACCCCCCTCCCCTCTTTTGAACTTTAGAGGCGTGGATCAGTGTAAATTGGATAGGTCAACAAGAAAAATTCTCTTTCCACTTTCACTAGTTGACAGTATTACGTGATATTAATTGGAAATTTTACTAGAAGGACACAATGCAGTCTACTTTTCTGCATAAATGCAAGCTGAAAATTTTCATCCGAATAGTAGATAAAAATGAGGAATGAAAAGAGGTAACGAGAGAAGATTTAAATTTAATTTACCATGGCCTATTGAGCTCTAAAGAGCAATTGCCCTACCAATTACAAGTTAACCGGCGAATAATAGTAAGTTCCGCCAAAAGGACTCCGTGTAAATGAGGCAATGGGAATTAGTAATTGAGTTAATTAGAGTTAATGTGGCAAACAAATACGATTAAAAACTATGAAATGTGGAAGCATTCAGTTAATTAAACACTCAGTTAGTTAATTTAGCCTCCAACACACACTCAGTGCAAATTTGCTAGGATATTGCAATTAATGCGTTTGCATTTGAATCTCTGCACACTTACAGCGGCGACTCACCTCTTAAGGCAATTATACGTAAATGAGCATAGGAGCGTAAATTCTTGCTATTCGACGGTTAGGATGTTAATCGGCTCTAATGAGTGTAATCTGCGTTGTCAATCATCATTTGTTCAAACTTAATTCCTACATTCGTAAACATTATTAATTTGCTTCACATGTAAAGTGTTCTTTGCAGGATTAAAGTTATTCCATTTCCCCAAATAAAAAAATTGGTCATATCAGATATAGACGTGACATCCAGACCATTTCAAATTAGGTAAAAGTACAGAAATACAACTGTCTCCCCTAGAACCAGTGTTTTTGCCGATTTTCTTAATGGAATCAAATTGGGGTGCGATCTAAGCCTGGATTATCTAAACCAAATTTTCAGCGATCTCTCTCTCTCTCTCTCGTGGAAACAAAATTTCTGAAACAAAACACCTCCGTAGTATTTATTTCAAATGGCGGGCATTGTGATACTTATCATATGCCATTTAGAAGCGTTTTGATGGTTATCATATGCCATTTAGTTGACTTCGGGCTTCACAGAGGGAAGGAGGAACATCAAAGTGAGAAAAAAGTGGAGAGGGGAGACAGAAGAGTGATTCAAAGATGTAGAAGAGACAGACACACAAAGGCAGAGAAAGGGTAGGATAAGTATGATGGAAGTGATTGAATTAGATATACAATGGTAGCTCATATGATAAAAGTCCATAAACCGGAATTCGACTTCTGACTTCAAGCTACCATGACCCCACTGTATGTCATATTCCACCGCTTCTACGGTATTCTCCCCCCCCCCCCCCAACTTCTTCCTTAGCTTAGTGCCTATCTCTTTTACATCTGTGAACCGCTCTTCTCTGTCCCCCCCTCTCCACTTTTGTGACGTTGATTTACCTTCTCTCTGTGAAGCCCGAACTCAACTAAAGAACTAATGATAACTATCGTTAAAGTCTGGCAGTCGACATAAGTGCTTACTTTTTCTGATATTAAACGGCATTAACGCGCTGCCTTAACGGTTGCAAACGCAGATTGTAGGTTAAGATTTAGATGGGTATCACTTTTTGCCCACATTTTGCACAAATACATCAATTCAAAACTACTTCAGTGGTAATCCAGCTTTTAGTCCTTGGTCACATGCTCGACTTCCCTTTAGTGAAAAGCATGCCTTATTTCCCTACCTGGGGTATGCAATAGACTTACCTCCACGTGGCGCATCCTGAGCAACGTACACTCATACGGCAAAAAAGTCTATTTATCGGCAGTTGACTTCTGACTTCAAACTACTATGACCCGACTATTTGTCATATTCGACCCCTTCCACTGTACTTACCCTAACTATTCTCTGCCGTTGTATATGCCAGTCTCCTTTAAATCTGTGAATCATTATTCTGTCCCCATCTCGTCTTTTTGTCATTTTGATGTTTCTCCTTCTCTCAGTGAAGTCAACTAAAGGGGTAATGATAGCTATCAAAACGCCTGCCATTTGAAATAAAAATATTTCTCTACCTAATTAGTTCCAATGAAGTGTAATGTACGTAAGGCGCAATATGCCGGTCTGTTTTCATCCTCCATCTATAAACATTTAAAATTTGGTGCTAGTCAAAGTGATTAAAGTAGAATGCTTTGACTTTGCTCTGGGATGGCCCATTTAGATCCCTCCCCTCGAAACCGTACGACTTCACTCAATTTACTGTACATCTTTGGTTTCGAACTCCAAAAAAATCGATATCATCTTTGGCATTTCAAATTAATTCAACTTGAGTGAAGTATGCCTTTAAAGGCACATAGCATTTGATACTATAATTCAATATAGAGCAGCTTACTTCTAGATTGCAGGAAGGCATCGGTCACTGATACACCAAGATTTATTGTTGAAGCACTGTCCTTCTTGAAGAATCGATTTTGCTGGAACCTATGCGGGGCTTTTCCTCCCGACACACTAATACCAGCTTGTCGGTTTATGGATCTATTATCCGTGAGTGTGAGTGCAGGCGCTTTTGGAAAGGCAGCAATCGATTGACGATGAGACTCCTCCTTTATCGACTTTATCGATCGTCTTTGGGTAGCTTGAGAGAAAGAAATGGTAGAGTTCCCTTGAACCGACGGTGGTTGAATTGTGACATCACTATTAATAGGTGCAGGTTGAACGCCGATGCCATTCTCGGTATCGGAATCACAGATTGAAGACCGAGCACCAACTGAAACGCTTCCCTCCTATTCCAATTGAAGGGTAAAGTGTCAACAGCAAAATTTTAAAGGCCCAAATTTATTGCATAAGAGTTAAAAGGTAATGGAAATGGCATATGGAGATATTATCCGGTGATAAAGCATGATTAAATGCATTTTTTTAAATAACAATGAGTAAGTGCTTATTTCTGAATGAGAATTATTAGCTTACTGAATTGCTATTGTCCTGAAAGAGATAAAGAAAAAAATAATTTAAAAAAAGATCTTTGAATATTCTGAGAGCGCAAACTAGTGAAAAGCAAGTAATAGATCAATAAATCTGAGAACGTTCAAGTTGACCTCTACGCCTTAAATGTAGCGTTTGCTTGACACGCTAATTTAATTATACCCAATTCGAAGTTGTTAAGCCCTGAGATGAAGCTAAATTATTACTCGTTTTTGCTTGGCAATTAAAATTCGGCAGAAATTCAAGTTAGACGTAGGAAGCAATAATACAAAGTCATGTCAAATTTAAGACGCATACTAATCAATTAATAAGAGAGTAATACTAATATTAAATAAGACGAAAATAAGATTGATTTTATCACCAAGAGCAACAACAAAAAACGCGGCTTCATTATTCAAACACTGAACATTGCAACAGAAATAAAATTTTGAAGTAAATATTTCTTTGTTAAAAACGATTGCTGGGGATCAGGCGAGTGGTGTCAAATAAATGTAACTTTAAATTTAAATTTATTTGCGACTAAAATGAAGGAATTGAAATTCCCAGAATTAATTTAAAGACAATTTTGAAATAGTGTGGGGAAATCCCAGGAAATAAAATAATAAACTGGGCGATCGAGATAAAGGCCAAATACTTAAAAAATAAAAGAAATAAAAAAAGACCAACTGTAGGCTCAACAATATTGATAAATAATAATCAATATTAACAGGGAGGTTATTTTTCAAGGAAAAGAACTGATTTATTTTCTTCTAATAGATAACAATAAGATTAGTAGAATGAAATGGTATGTCATTTTGTGAAAAAATATTCAGACAATACACGTCGATATAATCGAATTTAAGTACTGGCGAGAAAACCCACAAAATTATGCATTTTGATTCTAACATTCAAACTCATCAAAATTATATTTAAAGAAAAGGCTTCTTTCATTCTACCCCCTCTATTTTGACAGCATTGACGAGGCGAAAGCATGCACACGGGAAGAAAAAACACTTCTTTCTATCTACTGTCGTGAGGCAACATGTGAGACATCATCATCATCAAATCTCGTGTTCACCGAATCACAACGACCTCGTGTGCATATACACAAGATATATAATTAAATGAAACATTTTAAATTGACTTAATTAATTTTATTTATGAAATAAGTATGGCTAGAAGGACTCCATCATATTGATAAGAATTTCGAACGATTTAGACAATGCATAAACAAGTGCAAGGGGAATTCGGAAATCAAGTGGTATTTAATTCAATGGGAATTTAATACTTCAAGGGAAAGTGAGGTGATATAGCAAAAAAACCACATTGATACTCATTCGCGAAAGAGAAATCTTTTGACATAGCGGAAAGATGACACTAAACAGAAACAAGTCTCCTATGGCGATAGAACATGTTGAGTCACCATAGCAAAGCCACACTACACGATATTAAGATGTGATCAGTGAAATACCATTAGAAGTTGATAATTTAATAATCCTGAGTGAAAACGAATGCCAACATTCAATGGCGCGGACAACCGAGTAACCAACACGATTAATTCATCAAATCTAAGCAACATGATGTTGTAATCTGCGTAACTGAGCAATAAACGTTACTTATGTCAAACTATTAAGAAGGAGAATTCGCGGAATTGTTGGCTAACCTTTTTCTGCTTTAATTCAAATTTCCTGACGACCTTGAATAGCATATCCAATCAGATTCTTATGAATCAAAGAAATAAGTGAATTACGTGTGGCCAGAGGACACAAAAAATCCGAGATCAACTAAACATAATGAGATAAAGAAATAACAATAAGCAAAAATCCCACAGAACCAAATTTTTATGATTCCCATAAAAGGAAATCAAAAAGACATATACATGGCACTAAAACAAGGAATAGGCGAAATTAGAAAGCAAAAGATTTGCTCCAATTAACACGCAATTTTACAAGGTCAGAGGTAGCCTATTTGCCACCCATCAGAGTGTAGACTGACAAATGGAGGTAGTGATAGTAATAGAATTCCGCATTGGGCAAATTCCATGACACCCTACTCTTCTATCCAGGATTAGCAGTGGAAATTGATTTCACTTAAAAATCACTACTAGCACAAATTAACAGAAACTCAAGAAAAATGCAATTATTAAACTATCCTAAAATGTCAAAAGCTGCTAATCAATTGTAAAGATGACAATGAAACATTGCCGTAATAATTAACGCAAATGTCGTTAAGAATTGTCTTGCGAAACTCAAGGTCATTGGTTATAAAATGGAAGCTCGAGCGCCGACTACCTAAGTGCGCGTAGAATTTCAAGCTATGAGCAAAAAAGTTTTAATCGATTTTTCTTAATATAAAACATCAAATCAAAATTTTTGTGACTCCGAACACCTCTACCCAAAGAAAGAGAAGTAGAGAAGGCTAAAAATCAATTAACGAGGATAAGGGATTCGAACATAGGAAGGGCCTTTGAAGCGCACATCGACTGAAAAGGCGAGAAATTGCAGGCACAAAAAAATTAGAGGACATGTAGTTAGTGCAGAAAAGCAAAACAATGACTTGTGTAGTGTGTAGCCTGATCTAGGGATTTTGAGAGAGACTGAACGGTGCAATTCGATCCACCTGGCGCCTTGCAACAACTACATAGAAAACGAGACTGTCCCATGATCAGACGTGAGATTTAAAACTAAATAAGGTGCGTAAACAATGCAATGTTAGGAGAACGATTGTTCGTAATTTATAACAGTAGATTCAAGGAAAAACCAGGAAAAAACGTCAAAACTACTTTGATCATAACAGAACAGGAAATTGTCATTTATTTAAAGACTTCGAAAAAAGGAACACGTCTAATTACTGCTAAGGGGTGCGCAGACGGGAGATGAGGCAAAGAATGTTCGACGCAGATTAATTCTATTAAATGTATGCAGTAGCAAGTGTAATTTAGAGCATTAAAAACATAAATACATGGTATAATAAAGCATACTGTTATATTTTAAAGATCAGGAAATTCTGACCACATTTTTCAGAGCCTTTTAAAGGGTTTATTCATCTTCTAAATTGGTGTACCCTGAGCAATGTATTCTCATACGGCGAGAAAAGTCTACAAACTTCAAACTATCATGCCCTCATTGTATGCCATATTCCACCACTTTCACAGTACTCACCTTACCTTTGTGTCTGTCTCTTCTACATTTGTGAATCGCTCTTCTGTTCCCCAACTCCACTTTTGTGACTCTGTGAAGCCCGGTACCAACCAAGTGTCTAATGATAACTATCATAGGGGTTTGCGATAGACTTACCTCCACATGGTGCACCCTGGGTAACGGCAAAAAAGTCTATTAACTGGCATTTGACTTCTGACTTCAAACTACCACGACCCCCCTGGTTGTCATATTCGACCCCTTCCACAGTACTTACCTTACCTTTTTCTCTACCTCTGTGTCTGTCTGCCTCTTTCACATCTGTGAATCGCTCTTCTGTTCCCCACCCCTCGATTTTCTGCTACTTTGATTAACCTTCCCTCTGTGAAGCCCGAAGTCAGCTAAATGGCTAATGATATCTATCAAAACGCCTGGCATTTGAAATAAATAAATGATAACTATCATAAAGTCTGCCATCTGATATAGCTAAATAAATTTATCTTCTTAGTTAATCAAATCACCGAGACTTCTTCGAAGCTGAGACTGGGTTGGACTGCCAATAGTTTTTAGCATAGCTGGAGTCTATAAAGCACGTATAAAAGACTATTCTTCGAAAATGTTGAGAGGTTCACTTGACTAGATCGAGGTAGTTCGAAAAGCTAATACGGCTGAGAAAGAACATGATTTTGATTAAACAAACAGAAGTGATGAATTTGCCACATAGCCTAATCCAAAATCAAAAGAACCAAAATCTTGACCCAAATTTGATTTCTACGATTGGAGAAATAAGACTCAAAGAGTCTTTATTGCGTTGAATTGCGTATATTTTAGAAAATGCCAATTTTTTTTCTATATGCTTTATATTATAGCTATTCGTGTGAATAAAAAATTGGCAATAGTTTGAATAAAACAATTCCTCCTAAAAGTGCTGATGAACTCCAAAGTTGAAAATTGTAGATAATTTCGCAAGAAAGCCCCAAATGGCATACACTACCATTTAGTACAATATTTGCAATAATACTTGTTAATATAGACACAAAAGACCAAATATAGTAAAGTCTAAACTAGAGGATTCCAAAGGATATAAAGATATCTAGAGAGCTCTGAAATAGCCAGTGTCTACATCAGTGCTATCAATCAGGTCATGTAATTTAGAGGGCTAAAATGAGAGAAGGTCATACGAATAGTCATCCCGTTAAATCTTCAATGAGTCGCCTATATCCCCCAATAAGAACAGACTTTATAACATACTTCAGAAGGCCGATGTCTTTCCACACAATGAAGGCCTTAATCGGGAGAGAATTCAAGACCTCAGGGTGCAACGAACTTAAAGCTGAAACAAAGGAGAAACAGTGAACAGTGGCACTCCGACATAGCCTAATGGCAAGAATCGAAGCCGTTGCTGAGTTTAGACTACGTACCGGACAGAGCCGTTGTGAGTTTAGACTACGTACCGGACATGATTGCCTGGCAAAATACCTTCACAGATTGGGAGTATACACTCAGACCACATGCCGTTTCACAGATTGGGAGTATACACTCAGACCACATGCCGCCTATGTAACCTACAGGAGGAAATGGAGAAGACCCACCTGATTCGGTGTCCAGCCCTAAAGACAACGACGGAAACCCAGAGATACTAGAAAGCAAGAAGACAGCTAATGGAAAGCTATTAATTAACTTCTATTGGGTTTGCAACTAAGTCATTGCCGTTTTTGTTGACGGATTCACTCTATACTTTCTTTTGTTTTGTTAACGTGGCCAGAGCATCTAACCTAGATTTTTTTCTTACTGTATGGGCTTCTAGGTTTAGTTCTTTAGTTTTGTTTTTATCCCAATTTAAAAATGAAAGAACAGGACGTCCACTTCCGACACATTTTATTGTATTACTTCCGAAAAGGCAAGAACGCATCGCAAGCACAAAAGAAGTTATGTGCCGTATATGGAGATGAAGCCTTAAAAGAAAGGCAGTGTCGAAATTGGTTTGAAAGATTTCGTTCCGGTGATTTTTCACTCAAAAATTCACAACGATCTGGCCGCCCAGTCGAAGTGGATGAAACCCATATCAAGGCCATTTTCGATTCAAATCGTCACAGCACAACACGAGATATTGCAGAGAAGCTCAATGTGTCGCATACATGCATTGGAAAAAATTTAAAACCCTTGGTTATGTCAAGAAACTTGATTTATGGATCCCTCAACAGTTAAAGGAAATTCATTTGACGCAACGGATTAGCATCTGTGATTCGCCGCTACTGAAACGCAATGAGAATGATCCATTTCTGAAGAACCTAGTTACTGGCGACGAAAAGTGGATAGTTTATAACAATGTTACTCGCAAGAGATCATGGATGAAGCAAGATCAACCAGCCGAAACAGTATCAAAAGCAGAGAGTCACCAAAAAAAGATTATGCTGTCAGTCTGGTGGGNGGGATCACAAAGGAATTTTGTATTTTGAACTCATGCCGCAGAACCAAACGATAAATTCAAATGTGTATGTTGAAGAACTCGAAAAACTGAAGGATGCAATTGAAGATAAGCGGCCGGCATTATCAAATCGGAAGGGTGTTGTTTTCCATCATGATAACGCAAGGCCCCCCCACACATCTTTGGTTACTCGGCAAAAATTATTGGAACTGGGTTGGGATGTTTAGTCACACCCACCATATAGCCCTCACCTTGCGCCTTCGGATTACCATTTGTTTCGTTCCATGCAAAACTCTTTAAATGGTAAAATTTTTAACAACGCGGATGATGTCGGATCACACCTAATTCAGTTTTTTAATAGCAAAGACCAGACATTTTACGAACGGGGAATTGTTACTCTGCCAGAACGATGGAAAAAGGTCATCGACAAGAACGGCCAATATCTAATTGAATAAAGTTATATTTTTAAACAAAAATTCCAAATTTGCCTTCTTATTTGAAAACAGCAATGACTTAGTTGCCAACCTAATATATATGTACCCCCCCCCCCTCTTGGAGGGAAGCTGAAGTCAAAGTTTAAGGGCTAATGATAAATATCATAAAGCCTGCCATTTGAAAAAAAAACTTCAGAAGGTTCCGATAGTGCAATGGAAATTGCGCCACTTCAAGATAAAATGAATAACTTAATACCTTTGAATTCAAATAGAATAAGACTCTTGTATCACACAACCCCCATTTCCTCCCCTGATTGGGCATTTTAGTACGTGTGTGCACATGTACATAATATGATAGTAGTAACAAAACCGAGAAAAAAATGAGAATGGAATAACTGCGGGGAGGAGGGGGAGGGGGGGGGGGTAGAGGGCGTTGGGAAGTAGGAACTTCCGTGTCTCATTTGATTTATTATATTTCGTGACCAACTACATTGATCTGCAATCCGGCTGAAGGCAGTCCAGTAATGGGTTGGAAACATGCGATAAGAAGACAGAAAAAAACAAGAGATAGCGCAATGTTTGAGATCCAAAATATTAAAAGCATTTACAAATTCTACGTAACCATGGCAGAAATTCAATTAAAGCAAAATGTCTGATCCGATCAAACAACATTATATATGGAATCTTTCCACAATTCTTTGGCCACTTGCGCACGCCTCTCCTCATTGATTGGAACGTTCAAATTTGGGGTGGGGGGTCAAAGAATATAGAGCAATATCAGCAAATTCGAGGCGATAGGGAAATTTTGAAGAATCTAATGCCTCACTTCAAAAAAGCAATATATTCCATTGAATCGAATGACAGCGCCATGTTACATTCGTTAAAATAGGATGCATTGTAACGAGTGCGTTACAGAACTAAAACTCAAGGTAACCAAAAGGCTGCATGAGAATAGGAAATGTTAAATTAAGATAAAATGAGTTAGGGTCAAAGTATGCGTCCACAAAAGGGAAACCAGAAGTTGCTCTTCCTTTCTGTGAAGCCTGAAGTCAACTAAAGGGCAAATGATACCTATCATAACCCCTGCCATTTGAAATAAATAAATAATAGGTAACAACCGATTGGCTGGTAGACTAATTCGAGATATTGGGATGATTTGTATAATAATCAATGACCACATGAAGTAAAAAAATAACAAACCGTCACTAGCCAAGATTAGATCAGATTAAATCACTTATATTCTTTTTTTACCATCTACTTCTCATGTTTCCTTTGCGTGTGTGTGTGTGTGTGTGTGTGTGTGTGTGTGTGTGTGTGTGTGTGTGTGTGTGTGTGTGTTATGATGACTAGAAAGAGTATAGAGAACAATAACTAGATCAGATGTATGGGAAAAAGGAACTTGGCTTCTAGAGTTGCGAATCTGTTCTATCTCATTGCACAACTCTTAGCTTTCAGAAATTTAGCAATATTTATGCACGCGCGGACTTTTCAGCCTTGAGAGCTTAAAATTATATTGCAACTGCATCGCCTTCAGGAAGATTAAACAAACGATAGATCCGTAAAAATAGGACTTTGAAAATAAATTCACAGAGAGGGGATGCAAACTAGATAATTCTTTGCGAAATATCCACAACTTCTTTTTCGCTTTCCAAAGTCAGGATTTGACATTTCTCAACTTGTTAATTGGAAATACTTAAAACAAACGAAAATGCAATTTGACCAACCATAAAATCTACTCGAATTCGAAAAGCAAACCACGACTGAAAATTGTGCACATTTCAACTTTCTTTTAAAGTTCGAATTGAAAAAGAAAAACAAGCAAAAATAATACTCTTTCTTGCTACAACTAGATGTTTATTAAAGTGTAACTAAATTTGGCATTATGGTGAATACGAAACGTACTATTTGACATTTAAATTGAGAGATTGAATAGAACCTTGTAGCAAAGGCATTGAGAGGAGTGTTGAGGGACAGTTTCCATGAGTAAAAGGGGGTATTTCACGTCCGTCATAACTGTCCACTACTTTTGCAGTCTAATACCACAATCCACAAGCCCAAAGAATATGGAAGTAGTGACCTGTTGTCGACTGTGATATATAGGAGCTATTTCACATATGTCATCTAGAGAGTGTGTGTGTGTGAGAAAGACCTTGTGAACGGAACATAGACTTGCCAAAGTAGACCTCCATTCCATGATGATGAGGCCCTGAGGCTCAGTGAAAATGTGAGGCATACATTTCGGTCAATGAGATTTAGCCGCATAGTTTTGACTAATTCACCAAAACACTTGACACAAATACTACTAATAATAACACGTGATGTAATTAAGCCCTCCTCGAGAATGTCTACCTTCAATGCAAGTGATGCTGAAGAGTATCGAAAATGACACAAGAGAGGTGAAACAATGGCATACTCATTGATCGAAAGCAGCAAATCAGAAATCATGAACCATCGCAGAAAAGCATTTGTGTATTAAAAGAGGAAATCAATAAAATCCTAGATATATGCGACAAAGAAGTGTTATTCATTCAGAACAAATAAAAACGCAAATTTGCTCCTATTAGGTAATGAAGGTAACTAAATGTAATTAGTTTATTGGTAGGATGTGGTTCCTTCGAAAAGATGAAAATTTATAACTAGCTTTCGACAACTTCAAGGAGAGTATTAAAAGGCCATTTTTCGAGTTGGATTCATTTGCGTTTTAAAAGAATTATTTCAGGGATAGGGTTCAAGTCGATGAGAAGTATTCCCAGCTAACTTGGCATCCACCCCCGCACGCATGCATCAAATTTTCGCTTTAGTTAAGTAATTTCCGAG